AATATCCAAATTTGACAAAAAAGGATGTGAAAACAGCAAACAGTCATATCAGTTCCAATCAATACATAAAAAGTATTTTTTTTCTAGTTCAAGTTTCACTCTAGTTGTTATTTCTCCTTTTTTTCTGCATACATGAATACAAAACATGTTTTTTCGACATCTTTTTTAGCTTGTGCATCCAAAAAGGAACAAATAAAACGCTTTGTCTGTTGCTGAATCGACAAAGCAACAAATATGTTTAATACATGAATTTTCACTTAAGGTGAATGATATAAGAATGTATCACAATGAACTCATTGTAACCTGGAAAGTTATTTGATTTTATGCCAATGCTAGCAAACAGAAATTTTTGAGTTCTTATTATTCGAACTTCGAATTTTTGAGGTTCTTATTTTTCGAAAATCGAATCTCCGAAGTTCTTATTTTTAAAATAATTCGTTGTGAATTATTATTTTTCGAGTAATTTGTAATTTTGGTGAACATTCCTACTAGTTTTTATGATTAAGATAATCACTGTGATGAAATTGCATTCCTTAAATGTTTATGCTTTAAAAAACAGCTAGTTTAAAAAAAAATAAAAAGTAACGGACTTTCTTATTTTGAAATTTTAAAAAAATACCGCGCGAAAATTTTGAAATTTTTTTGTTTGTAACGGACTCTGTTCTCTTTGCTAACATTGGATTTTATGGGATTTTGATGTCGTCTATGGATGGCTTAATCGGATGTATTCATTCTCATTTGTTACTTTACCTATTCTTCAATGAATAAGATATTTTTAATTTATTAGTGTAAGTTGTACAAGGTAGTGGAATGTTGAGGATGTAGACTATTTTATTGGATATTCAAAATTGGAAGTTTCGAGACATTTGCTGCAACATTTTTGTCTTAATGACTAATTCGAAGTAGACGAGCATTTATGACATTTATTTATGAGCACCTTACATTGTTTGTAATATTCTTTATTGAATTATGAATGTAGTACACACTCGAAAGGACATAAACAACAATATGGACAGTCTTTGGAACGAGAATATTTATGACATTTTTCCATGCCATTGTGAGGTGTTTATTGAGTTATTATTGATGACGTAAATATGTAATCGGGTCAATGACAAAGTATTGGAAATATTCAATATGAATGTTTTTGCATCACGACATCCTGCAGTCGATTTCAACTCCATGAATGTCTAAAAATATCAAGCTCTTGATAAAATCTAATCGACAAACGAGAAACACGATCAGAAAATTGCGCTGTCACATTCCACATGTTGCAAAGTTTCATACTTAGCTCCCACTATCTCCAACTGTTCGAATTCCAATTTAACAAATTTTTTAGTTTTATTTTCTCTGTGTGAAGGCAAGCAAAAAAAATAATTTTTTATTCTACTTCAATGGCACAGCACAAATAACATAGAAAAAAAAATATATATTTATTGAAAATAAATTTTCGATATTATTTCATTTTTCATATCTATTTGCAGCAAGGAAAAAATATGTTTTTCATGTCCTAGTTTTTTATTTCGTAGCTTCTTTTGACTGTGCCTTTTTCAGTTTTCAATTTCACTCTATGAATCGTTTCTGTTGTATCGCAGAAAAAAAATATATAAAGCATGAATGAAAATGAGGAAAAGTGTACATGACAATACAGTAAAATAAAAAAAGAAGGAGAGAAACTGAGTAGAATGAGCTTTTTATAGCATTCTTTTATGCCATTGTAATATCTTTTAATGTGACAATAGAAAAAACTATTGGCATTTTTTTCCTGTCATCATTGATGTCGCTGTGCATTAGACAAGTGGAGAGTTACAATGAACTGAGAATGATAACGCAAATTTCGCATAAAAATAACTTTTCATAGGATGTGAAATTCACTGTCGTGGTAGGAAAATCAATAAAAGTTCCAATTTTAATAAGATTTTCTGATAACGGACATTTTATATTCAAAACTATACCCATGAAAGTTGAGCTGACAATCCCCTTAAAGCATTCCTTAGTTGTATATTTTCAGTCGACTTTTTCAATAAAGCAAACGTGCTATTTCTGAATAAAGGTTCATTCCAAACCACGCTTAGTTTCTAAAAGATTGACAAAATCCTTGATTCATATTAAAATGTACAACTTCTATTTTCCTTGCCAAGAAAACCGCACTCATAGAGAATGGGAGGCTGTATCGCTATCATCATCATATGACAATAATAATTCTGCATTGCCATGAAACGTGCTTCTATTTTACGCATCAAGTAACCGGCATAATGGCGAGAAATGTTTATGATGCACAAGCAAAAGAAAAGCGAAAGCAGGGAAAATTTTCCTTTTCTGCTAAATATATTCCTTTATAGTAATGGTTTATTGCTTTCGCTGTAATATGGATCAAAGTATTTTCTTATGATATGATGGAAAGTGGAGAGAATAGAGGGGATGTAGTATAAAGATATTAAGTAATGGAGTGAAAGTGCTGAAATAAGGTGCTGTATTATTGTATTCGAGGAGGAGAAAAAAAAAAGAATCTCGATGATCAGTCAGCACAAAGGAAGAGAGAGAAAATTTCTTGGGATTATTGCGCACTACAAGGCACGGCGAGCAAGAGATAAAAAGAATAAAGGAGAAAGTTTCTCAAAGATTTTATTTCTTCTTTCTCCTTTTTTTGTGTCACAAGAATAAGAAGGAGGCATAAATGGTCGAGTTTTGGCTGTCTTTCTGCTTGAATATTTGATGTTTTATCATCTTTCAGATAATCTACATAAAATCAAATTTTTTTTCAAGGCTGTAATGCCTTTCATTGCCATCAAACAAATGACATTTAGACGGTCTTGGCTGGAAATGCCTCTGATGCTATTTTAAGAACAACTCAATAGACAAAACAAATTTTTTTGTACCTAGAAACAACCTTTTGAATTCTCGTTGTCTTGGTTTTAATTCATTAAATTTTTATGTACACAAACGCTGGAGTTGTGGGTGTCGACAGGCAATTACTTAGATCAGAAATTGCTTCTATATTTAGATTGTCATGGCTTTTGTATTTAAAAACTTTATTTCGTGGAGATAAAGCTTCGTGTAACAAAGAATCGGATATTATTAGTCAATTATTCTACATCAAGTAAACTCCAAGATTTTTCACAATTCTTCCTAGCAACCCAAAAAAATTGAACCTTAAATGCGCTTCAATGGCTTCCAATTTTATATAAATTTATAAAATTTTCTTCCACATTACCATCAACAATTGTGCATGTGTACTTGACCACATAAATCAAATCATAAAAATTCCATATAATGGCAAGAAAGTTTTTTATAGCATCTCACATCCACGAGCGCCTACCCTCTACTTTCCTCGTACACAATGATTTCCCTGTATGAATAGAATATACCCAACCGTTATTAGGTTAATTGTTGTGATAGAGTGAGAAGAAAAATTCTCTTTTTTATATTGTGAAGATTTATTGAGGAAGTAGGAAAAAAAAACTTTCGTACATGATTGCCTAATCAAATTTAATTTGTTGCTTTTTCCTTCTTTTTTTTTATGATTCATTTTTATGATAAAAGTAGATAAAAGAAAATCCATTAAAATGTGAAATTATTTTGATTGATAATTCGTGCTGTATAATTGAATTATTAGATTTTGATTTTAATTAAATAATCATTTTCGTTCGACTGCATACTAATTTTGCAGGTTTGCTTTGTGGAAAGTTTTGTTTGTTGTCTGAAAATTGAGTATAATTAGTTTCTGGTTTGTAGTTTGTAGAATGTCGTTTAATTAGTTTAGAAATATTGTTTGATCACTTGTGGGGGAATGTGAGCAGATAAAGTGTATTTTGAGTGATTGTTTGATAGAAAATCATTGGAGGTTCTAGCAAAACGGTTGAATCTAAACTCAGAATGGCAATCAAATGAAGACTTGTGTCGATGGAGTTTTTGACATTTATTCAGAAAAAAAAATTAATACGGATTGTTTCTTAAATTTAAAAATTATTGCAATTTAATCTTGTCTTAAATATTTCTTTGAAGTTATTATACCTAAACCATTTACGGTGGTCAATAAATTGAATTTCAGGAAGTTTAATTATAACAAAATCTGTCCAAATTCCATTGGAAGTTTAACTTTAGTAATTTTCTCAATGGATTCTATTTATGAAGTTTTTCAATTCATAGCTTTTAATAGCTTTAAATAATATCGAAAATGAAATCCTAGAATTTTTCTTAATTGATATTTTGAAAACATCGTCTTTTGTTTGAGAAATTTGAAGATAATCATAAAGTAAGAATGTCTCAAATTTTACTTTTTCTTCACAATAAACAAAATGAATATTTTTAATGAACGAGGAATAAAGCTGACTTTTTCAAAAGTTATTAAAACACTTATATTCGATTTCAAAAAAGGTTGTTTCCATGTGATTAATGTGATTATATTGAAAAAAAAAAACTCGAGTTCTTTTGTAAATTTAAAAATGGATATTACAATATGATTCAGTTTTGTAGTATTGACCATTGAATTGAATAGTGTAGTACTTCAGTAGCTGTAGTGGCATTTGCATATAGTAAGTAATAAGGTTCGTATCAACTATAAGTTTTATGCTTGAGTACATAAATTTATCAGATTGAGTCCTCAGGTCAGATAAACACTAGCTCAATTAGTAATAAACTGTGCCTAGTTTTTTTGACGATTGTTTAACCGAATATAATTCGAATTTCCACTACACAATCCACTCATTATACGCATACAATATCCTCCTAAAAGTTTTAATACATAAAATCCCACCATATCAAAATTAATTAGTAAAGTTAAGTGGAAATTTTGATACCCTTATTTTTCTAAAAATAATAATTCAATGTTCAACTTTTAATAAATAAAATTTTTCAATAGTCAAAGTTTTCAACTTTGCTACATGAAAAATTAACTTTCAAACAGCAACCAAGCCAAGCCATAAATAACCCTTATATATCCCTCTTTAAAAACTATCAAAAATATAGTCGAAACTTTATCATTCCGAGAATAAAGCACTCACCTGTATAATTGTCTTTCGTGGTGCTTGCGATGATTGTTGATGTTCAACATTGTTCGATGTTAGTTGTATAGGACGAACTGGAATGGACATTTTCGATACAACTTTATCAATATTCTGATGATGATGTTGTAAATTGGCATTTTGTAAGTCGAGAGCAATGACATTCTTGTGTTCACCTTGCATGAAATAGTTTGTCGAATTTTGCGGAATTGCTTGATTTGTTGTGACAATATTATTCGAATTGTTACTCGCTATGAGTTGAACTTGCTGTTGAGGATACTTTTTCTTATCATTGACAACGACCATTGGATGGACAGTATCAGTGAGTGTCGGTGGACGAAATGATCCACTTGTTATGTTGGACTTATTTTTTGAACTATTCGAGTCCAATTTCTTCTTTCCATGTGATGATGATAATCTCTTCCATGACAATGCATTAATGAACAGTGAATGCTTTTTGAGATTCTTCTCAATTGCATTCTTCTCGGACAGAATTCGAGCATTTTCCGATTGTCTATCGTCAATTGACGAGACATGACTCGATGTTGTCAAATTATTGTTGACAATATTTGAATTTGATGATCCAAACAGGACCAAACTATTTGAATTTGTGCCATTTTGTAATTGAAATTGATTTGGCACGTTCAAATATTGCATCGGCTTTGAATTTTCACGATTTTTAGCATTATTGATTTGCTCGTATGCATAATTATTGAGCTGAAAATCGGATGCTGAATTTGAGGTACTAATTGTACCGCTTCCATGATGATGTGTTGTATAAATTGGGCGTCTTTCACGTGGACTAAAACTCAACACTGTTCCCATAGTTGCTGATTTATGATTTATGTCCTCACGACTTTAACGCTTCAAATTAAAATGCCTTTGGCTTGTTACGAATAGTAACACAATTTTTTTTTTCTTTTATTTTTTATGACGTCAATTCAAATCACTGTACACGAGCGAATTCTCACTTTTTTTTCTTCACAAATTGGAAGCTTTACTTCCTTTTTTTTGCACTAAAATTTCTTGTTATTCTTTCTTCACTTTGAGTATATGTAGAATATTACAGGAGATATATTTTATATGAAAACATTTATCGGCAGAGCAATAAATCCTTCGATGAGCACCTACGCATATTTTCCTTTTTTTTCTAGCTATAAAAATGGATGAACTTGATATTTTTCTTCTGTCTTTATTATTTTTTTGCTTCCTATGATACCAAAAAAAAAGATAAAAATCGATAACGGTTATGATACTTTGTGCTAAAGTCATTTACAATTTCTTTTTTGTTGTGCTATTCACAGGAGATTTGAAGAAATAGGAACAAGTGAACTTTTGTTTGTTTGTTGATGCTTAATTTAAATATTTTTGAAATTTTATTCTTTTTCCTTGATATCAATTTGAAGCAAGCTTCCAATTAGAAAATCGATACTAAGTTACTGTTAATATTAAGAGAATTTTGAAGATGCATCAATTCAAATGTTGCAACTATAAATTCAAAGAATAATAAGTCTTAAATAAAAAATCAAAGATCTTATAATATGTCAATAGTTTCTAATAAAATTGAACTAGAGTTGTTTGATGCTATTGGTGTTAAATTTTTTGTAGTTTTAAAAGGTTATCAAATCTCTTGATAAACTAAAGCTTTTCTACTCATAATTTATTGAATGGATCATAATTTCTTAAATTTATCATCATCACAAACTCAGCAATTTCATTCATTTCCATTAAAAACTACTTGTTAACTTCTCATAAAAAAATATTTTTCCCGACGAAGAAAAAAAAATTATAATTAAATCAAAATCAACATAATAAGCAAAATTAAGTGCTAAATCCGAAGATTTCTTATCTTTGTAAGCGAAAACTTATAAAAATTTACGTCACTAAAACAATCACTGCTTTTGCTGATGGAAATTATGTAAATCATTATCTTTCACTTGTTTCTATCCATTCATTTAGCCAGCCTTACTTGTTTGTATTTTTTTTTGCTTAGATTTGCAAATTTCGAAAACCTCTCAAACTCGATTAATTATTTAGATTAATTAATGCGCGATATCCGACCTTCATCTCTTCATTCCACTTATTATTATTTTGTCTCTATCTGCTCGGGATAATAATAATCTCATGCATATAAATATGTATATGTTTATATACTCTTTTATTCAAAGGAAGCGATAAAAATAATTGGCTCGAATGTATAAGCACAAAACACTTCTAAATCCTAATTATTTGATTACATCCTTTTTTTTTGACTCACTAAAAGCACAATGATACACACGATATAAATTTATATTCCCTTCTATTTTTATCTCGTGTTCCTCCTAACAAACAGCGAGGAACAAAATAAGGGAAAAAATAAAGTTTTTTTTTGGTTTTATATTGTTGTTGTCAGAACATTCGCAACCAAAAGTTTAACGCGAACTGTAACGCGAAATGGTTCAATCAGTTCTGACAGGATCGAATGAATTCGTGAATGTAGAAATATTTCTTCATTTATTTTCGGTCGGTTCGGATTCTCGCTGTCGTATAGGCATTCGGAAGTTTGTTTTTACTTCCAATTATCCTGGAAGTTCCTTCAATTCAATCGATTTAAGAGATTGCGCACACTCGGTCAATTTCCAATGAAATGTTTCCATTCCATCCTTTTTCTCGTTTTCATGGCGACGACTTTTTTTTTTAATTTTCCTTCCACCAAGGAAAATTTGAAAATTTTTCAAACTGAAAATTCTTTAACAAGAAACATTTTCCTTTTTGTTTTCATTCATCAATTTTCCAGACATGCAGAATGACTGTTTTTGTGTGCGACTGTGTTGGTGCGATTACACAAGGGATACATACAATTGTTGTCACAACACGTAATCCTTTTATATTCTATCGGTTGCTCAATAGGAAATTTACTCTACATTGAGTCCAGTTTCTTTGCGCTTCATAAATTTATGAGATGCAATACATCATCATGGATCAAAATAGGGAAACGGGATAGAAGCATAAGGACATAATGAGTGCATCAAAACAATTATGCATGCATGGATGAACGTAAAATTGCTCAAAGGAAATTCAATGTACATGTTCATGCAGAAGATGGAAGAAATTATTTTCTCGTTCTTTTATTTCCTATTTTTTTTTTTTGTTTTCATTACATCATATTGGATCATCATATTTCAGCTTCGGCTGACATTAAGGCTTTAAAATTCAAAATATATGAGAATGCAAATTCTAGAAAAGGGGGAGAACTCCTGGGGATTATGAAATTTTCATTCTAAATATTGAAAGAGGGAATTTTTATGAAGCTAGTTAAAAATATATATGCAAGGAATTTTCAGTCATGAAATATTCTTTTTTTGATGACTTTTCTATACAATTTATAATTCATTGGAATGTGCTTTATTAGAAACAGGATGTTGCTATAATTTTTCATGTTCATCTGACATGTTTTGTCACCGTGAATTCGCTTTTGAATTTTTTAGAGAATATTCAAACTTAAAAGCTGATGCTAATGATGCGAATGTAGGCAAATGAAGCAAAAATTGATGCAAATTCGAAATAAAGATGCAAAAACCGATTCAAACTTAGATAAATGACGGAAGAACTGAATTGAGAGATGCAAAAAATGAAACTTAAGATGCAAAGACTGATGCATCGTATTTTTAAGTTGCAAATTACTAAAAGATAAAGATGCAAGAGACAAAAATTAAAGTTGCAAAAATTTAAGCAAAATACAAAAGTCTAGAATATTCAAAATTCATTTAAATTATGCTAAATTATTTAAAATTATTAAGCATCTGAGTTAAACCATCTGACGACCGCCCCTTTAAATTTACATATTCGTCCCACAATCAGTGTATCCCATCTTCTAGTTCTTAAACATTCATCAGGCAAAAAAATCAAAACATCAAAAAATAATCGGATAAAAATTTTATATCTAAAGAACTCATCCTCTGTGTCTACAAAAATCACGTATGATCTCTATTAATATATACCAGATTTAATCTGAATAAACCAGATAGAATGATTTATCTTTGCTATTTGAATATTGAGGGAAATCAATGGGATTCTATTCATGCTGTAACCTCATTTTTATGAAGAAAGAAAATTACAAACAGTAAATAAACCATAATTTTTAGAAACAAGCCTTGCTTGTTGTCTGTTGAGTTTATTTTTGATTATTATTTATATCCCAAAGCTATACGACAGAAGAAAAAAAAATCCTTTGATCCCGAAATCTTTTATCGAAAAATTCTTTTCCTCTTAATTTAACAAAGTTTGACTTTTATGATGGAAAATTTTTGTACGTATAATGCATAATATTCACAGTTATCATCAAAACATTCCTTGCTGGTAGTCATCTGTCCGAACAATCAAAAATTACTGTTATTATAATGACCGAATGAAGAATCTTTTTCAGAATTCATGTGCTGTGCTGTGAATTAATTTGGTCGTATTTCAGACTTTATGCTTCTAATATTTCAGCTTTCAGACTGTAGTCTTGATGGTTGTGTCAGATTTTTGTGACACGATAGAATTTATGTGAAATTCTTTTCAGGAGAAAATGGTAAAAACATGGCTTTAAGGATGTTGAAAAGGATTCTGCTTTCAATTTTTTCTTTTATTTTGTTCTGGTCAAACTATCAAAATCAGGAACTTATTCCATGAAATCCACAAGATATTTATTCAAATTTACATGTATCTATTTCTATAGCTCGTGTCCATGGCATCCCTTTGTAAATATAATTTACATACAATTCGAGAACCATAGAATCGAATTTGGGCTATGTTACTCCCCATCCCTCCAAAAAAACTCATCACAAAGCTGCTTACAGTTGTTGCTTTACATTCCAAAAATATCAAATGGAACGTGAATTGTCGATAGAGAAGCAGCTCACAGCTAAATAAATAAGCATTAACTTTCATTCTATCTCACTTTTTATATTCAATAAATCTTCTTTATTTTCGCTGCTTTATTTACAGAAAAGCCAATTTAAGGAACATATTAATCCATCATGTCAGAACATTGAACCCTTTTATTACGATATTTTTAAAAAAGGAGATTCATAAAAAAGACAGTAACAACATGAAGAAAATTAGAGTGGATAGGAGAAGATGAGAAGCATTTTTGATGAGATTTTTGTGACAGCATAAAGGTAAGAAAAATTATTTCATTTTGTCTGATGTTTCGTGACTACAATTAATCATGTAAATTTGTTTTTCAGATTGAGCAAGGACAAATTCCTTAAAATTCTTTGACTTCTGCTAGAAAAGGCGCTACAGCCTTCAACATTTAACATCCAGAAATTCCCCAAACATCAACACAAAAGCACTTGAAAAGTATTTAAATATTATTATTAAAATAATCATTTTTCACATTCAAACATTTATAAACGACACATGTGAATAGAAAGCATTCGTAGGGGTTGAAGTCACAAATCTTCTAGCCTAATACTTTTGCCAACATAGCGAGATAAACACCCCTCCATCAATTCTCTACTACTATCATGTTTTTGAAAAAAATATTCACGTATATGATACAAATGAAAATAATTATCGCATGTAATTTAAAGGAAATGCCATTATGGTGGGGTTGAAAAAATTCCTCAATTGCGAAGCGCTGCTTGAAATGTTGGAAATTTTCTAAATTGATTTTTTTTGGAAACAGAGCGCAGATATACATTAGATGTGATTAGTTGAACAAAACTCCCAGACACCCAAACTGCATCCACACTCCCTCCAACATACTATCCAAAACAACACAACATAATGAATGCTACATCAAGTGACATTACAGGATTTGAATAGAGTTTCCCGTTTAGTAACCTGAAAAAAGGGGTTCCTCATTCATTCATCATCATATTGAATAGCATTACGGAAGAGCGGATAGAGGAGGCATCTCTGTATCTATTTGGTTTAAAATTATTTCTCACTTTGAGAAAAGTTGCGACAGCAAAAAGCCCCTACGGCACAAAAGAGGTTTTCTCATTCATTTTTAAAGAGGGAAAACTCATTTCAATCCTGTCGAATGGCATTAATTGCTACGTCTGCTCATTTTTCATTCACTTCTCCGACTCTCTCGACTTACTTTAGTCATCCTGAAATTGGTTTTTCCATTTTTCCTTACTTCTTCTTCGTCTTACGAGTTCAGTTTATTTCAATTTTCACTCTTGCGAAAGACAAAATACATAAAAAAATTGATTTTAGAGCTTAAATTAAGGAAGC